TGAAATTTGAAATAAAAATAGGACAATGGGAGGAAACATAGGTCAGATCCTCTGTGATGGATTGAGGGTGCGCTTCTATTGGCTGATTTTGAATATTGGAGTCTGTCTTCTCTGTGGGAAGTTCCAGTCAGGGGTCATCATGTGACATGATCCCTGGGAGTACAATAGAACGTCTGTCTGTAGACCCTTGTTCGCTGCTGACTCCCCTCTTCTCCTTCTATGGAGCCTCTCCTTCTTCCAGCTCCTCACAGCCTCTCCTGTATCGGACTTTTCTGATACAATTCAAATCTGAACCGTCATGTTGTCATACAGCGAGCGGCCATTGGCTATCATGGCGACGTTTAGGCTTGATTGGACCAATGGCAGCACGCGTGCGCTCTGCTCCCTAGGCGGCCCGTGTATCGCGGAGGATGCCGGGAGCTCCTTTATATCTGGGGCTCAGCTGAGAGGTGCGGGCAGAGCCGTGTGAGGGGAGCTGTGTACACGAAAATGGCGGAGGGGGACAACAGGAGTGCCAACCAGCTGGTAAGAGGAGCGATGTGACAGCTGTCAGGGCGCTGCTTGGGGGGAATGTAGGGAGCGGAGAGAGTATACTGGTCGCTCGGCCTGGACTTGTTCTGGCTTCGGGTTATATAAGTGTGCCGCAGGCTCTGCTTCCATTTGCAGAGCTGTGTGTGAGGTGGGGAGAGCTGTGTGCTGATAGCTGTGTGCTGGGACTGCAGTGACTTGCTCGCTTTGTGACAGCAGGCCTCAGGAAGGGAGGAGACTGCTGATATCACACTGCACAACAGGGAAGTGATCATAACGGTCTGTACATCACATACAGGTCATCGAACAATTGATGTGACTAAGGGGAGGATTCCACACACACACATTATACAATTTAATCACCCCTGTCACGCTCTTTGAAATTCCAGAAATAGAGGCCTGACTGCACAGCAAACCATGACTACCTCCCCATCCTGCTGCTGTGTCAGCCATCTGCCCTCTGATCAAGAGGTAAGCTCGCTCTGGGTGTCGGCTGTCCAGTCCCCACCGTGCTTCCATCTGCCCTGTCCTACATCACTGCTGTCCCTGCTGAAGGTGTCCAGGCCGAAGGATGAATCCAAGTCTGGGCCACACATGTCAGAGAGATGACATTCTTTATGAGGTGCCGTTCTGCAAGACCGTAAAGGTGGGACAGGTAAGGATCCTTTCACATGGGCGTTCAGTCTGGATTCATCTGTCAGTTTTTTAGGTAGATCTAGACTGACCCACAATCTATGGGTGGGTGGATGTAAACGAATGATCAGCTTCTACCCCCCCCCCCCCTCCTTTTAGTTTAATAGAACAGCACTGCATCCTTTTCAATTTAGGTCCCATTCACACTAGGGCGTTTTAAATTGCCACAATCCTGCCCACAATTTCAAAACGCTCTGCTAAAATAACAGATCACGGAACTGCGTGTTTAGGTGCTGCGGTTCAGCCTGAGATTCAAAAATTCCTAGACAGCCTTAGACAGATGACGTTTTTTGTTTATGTTCCTTCCATTAATTTCAGTTAATAGGCATTATTTTTTATTTGCTAATACTTTTGGCACCTATAATTGGTTCCTGGAACTCCTAAATAAAAAAAAAAAAAAAAAACCCAACTGAACATCAGCTCTGTGCACACTCGCTCCCGAGCCACCCCTGTGTCTTTGAGGCACACAGGTTGATTTACTAAAACTGGAGAGTGCAAAATCTTCTGTGCAACTGTGCGTGGCAGCCAATCGGCTTCTAACTTCAGCTTGTTCAGTTAAGCTTTGATAAGAAAAATCCTTGTTGCTGATTGGTTTCTATGTAGAGCTGTAGCAGATTTTGCACACTCCAGTTTTAGTAAATCAACTCCACAAAGTGCAACTTGGCCCTGCCCCTCGCTCCCTCCTCACTGGCAGTGATTGACAGCAGCGGGACCCCCTGTTCAAATTTTGGACCTTTTTTTTGGGGGGGGGGGGGGTACCTGGTTTTGGCAGGTACTCACTTCCACTTTGCTCATATCACTTAGGCAGTCCAAGCGGAAGCAGTGCCCCAAAAACGCTGTTCAACTCAACTAGTTTTTATGGCTGGCCACACAACTGCAGGTGTAAACAAGTCCTCAGAGGTAAAAGATTTAACACACCCGATGGAAAGATAGTATTTGGCTTCCTTTTTTTTTTTTTTTTTTTTTTTTTTCTCTCCTTGTACCACATGTGATTAATAATAATGTTTTTGCCAAGTCCGTAGACAAGGATACAGGATGTAAAGTACTTGCCACTACAGGACACAGGTGTGGTATTGTACAATACTGACCTGTAAAAACGAAGATGTTAGTGGAGTGCTGGTGATCCTTCCTTGTATTGTACTGTTGCTTGAAAATTGATAGTTAACTTTGCTGCAAATGGGGAATAGTCACGCTAACTCTTCTCATTTTAAAGATCAAGAGGCATGGAGAAACAATACCTCTGCCTCTCCCGGTGCAAGTAACGCACACATTACATGGTACCACGCTGCACCATCTCCTATTACTCCAACTTTCACTGTTGGTAGAATTTTTTCTTTCTGTGTAATTTAAAGTATTGTTATTAAATTTAAGTTTGGTAAAATTTAAAGTGCTTGTAAAGGCTGGATGTTTTTTTTTTTACTTTAATGCATTGTAATTGCAAATTACAAATGTAGTTAGGTTCTGATGGGAGAGCACTGTCCATGTTTCAGAATAAAGTCAGGGATCACCACCTGTAGATCCTTTCAGACAATGCCACCATGGTGGAATAAATCGACAAGTATGTGGGCACTGGGAGCCCATTTTTTGCTGTCTGTGGCCAAAGTTATTCTGAGCACGGCAGGGATGAATCTGACCTCTTTTCGGCAATAACACCTTACAGGAACTCAGAACTAACTGGTGTATTTTAGTTGCCACCAAGATAAGTAGGAAGATTGGTCCCAGAATCCAGAAGTGTTTTCCACCCTGTCAGATCTTTGGGAGAAATGTGGACTCTTGGGAAAATGCAATGATCAAGTTGTAGTTTTTCCTGAATGCAAAAAATCACCATGAACGCACTTGTTATCTTTTTTCAGTTCCAATTTCCCCCCCCTTTTTTTTTTCTTGTAATAGTTTATAAGTTCAAGCAGAAGCACACAAATCTGATCCTGATTTATTTTGGCAAAAGAAGCCATGGTTCTCAATCCTTCTTTGGTCACTGCCCCTCCTTGGATCCTCCTGGACAAGCCAGATCTAAATTCCCAGGGTTCAGTTCTACATCCTCAGGTGTGGACCTTAGGACTGGCTGCGTGGTCTCTAAAGAGCAGATAATGAAATCCAAAGTATCTGGAAGGATGCCGATTGTGGGCATTTTTCTTTCTCCGCTTAAAGCGGAGCTCCACCCAAAAGGGAAAGTTCCACTTTAAGTACTCCTCTCCTCCTCCCCTGCCACATTTGGCATGCATTTTTTTTGGGGGGGACCTGGTACCTATTTTGACAGGTATCTGCTCCTACTTCTGCCCGGCTCGCCTTTTCCCCTCCTTCCCTGCAGTCTTCTGGGATACGTGACAGGTCCCAGAAGACTGCCAGACAATTTAGGACTCACAACGCGAATCGCACATACGCAGTGTGCACCCAGCTGTGAAGCTGCAACCTGTCACAGCCAGGTGCCCACAGTTGAGATGCTGGCACTAAGGAGAGAGGAGGATGGCTCAGGTGAGCACATTTTTTGATCCTGGGACAGGTGAGTGTGTGTTTAAGTCAGCAGCTACAAAAATGTTTTAATAAACACAAAAATGACTGGAGTTCCTCTTTAAGTACACCCTCCTCCATGCATGGTTGAGCTAAGGGGCAGATGGATTCCAGGAAGTAGATGCTACTTGAATCGTCTGCCCTTACTCAAGATGGATGTGGCTAAAAATGCTAGGAGGGAGTTTTTCAAATGATTTCTCAACCAAATAAAGCACAAAGACATGAATGGGTGAGTTTGCTTTGAATATTAAAATTAAAGTGTTTTTCAGTTTGTGGTGCTCAGATACAGTGTAGCTTCGCATAATATATGTTTGTTGTACAAGTGCCTTGGTGGCTTCTTGGTCTGAAAAGGCTGGTGCCAGCTCTGTAAGCTGTGGTCCCTCCCTAGTCTGGTAAGTTCTTGCTCATCCTCTCATATGCTGTCATGGAAGATGATTGGGGAAAACAGGCTCTATTTACTAGTAACTCTATTTCCAGTCTAGTAGTAATCATTCAGGAAAGCAGGATTTCTGCTCTGTTTTATGTTTCTGTTCTATTTTAGATTTGTCCTTTTTTTTTCAGCAGTGCCTTACATTGATAAATACTTTTAAAAAAATTTATAACAGTGCCTGCTGGGGCATCCAAACAATTGGATACATTGCAGCCTTCTTGTTTCTGCAGATATTCACCTATAGCATTAGGGGGCCCATTTACACCTTTGTGTGTTAATGTTTATGAAAACCTAATTTATATTGTGCATTAACGCAGAACACTCTAACAAATCGTGTATGTGCATTCCCATTCATTGTAACCTGTTTGCACTATAAAAGTCTTGTCTGCCTGTAGTGTACAACTATCTGTCTGTTTTGGTGTGTTGCCAGAAAGACTGTGAGTATGTTGCTTATGAGTTACATATTCAAAGTGAATGGCTTGCCTTAACACAATGCGTGTTGGCTCAGGGAACTTGTAGTTATCAGGGTCACTGCTTGTGGCTGCTCCATATACTGTGCAAGATGGATATAGATTATACTTAACCTGTGTGGCCTGTCTGGCACCACACAGACTCTTCAGTAACCTTACCAGTCCAACATTACTTTATCTGCACATGCTTGGATCGAAGAGCATTTATGAGCGGAAAGCTGGTCTTCAGCTGACAGTTCGTCTATTGAAGTGAATGGAATATGAGCCATGCATGTGTGGGTAACACTAATTAGTTTGTAAAGATTTTCAGAGTGGGTTTTTCTACTCTATTCTTGAAGGTCCCCCAGGATAACCACAGACTTATCTATCTGTTGCAGGCTGCAGAGACTGCTAGCCTGGAGGAACAATTTCATGGATGGGGTGAAGTGGTCCTGCTTTCAGATCGTGTCCTTCGCTGGGAGAAGCCATGGTTTCCAGCTGCTATAATGGGAACAGTGTCTTTTATCTTCCTGTAAGTATATATACCTAGACAATCTGCTCTTGCTTTCAGTGTGAATTATTTATATAGACATAGTGCAAATCCCACAGCCAGGCTGTGTTCACACTAGAGGCAGAGGGTCAGTAAAAATAGGCAATCTGCATTTTTACCACACACCTCTAAATTTACTTGATGGCTGGAAGGGTCAGTTCATATTGCTAGTTGCAACAAATTTAAGTGGTTCTAAAGGCTTTGGGGGAACAAGCATTATGCAGTAGTATCTCTTAGATTGTAAGCTCCAAGCAGCAGGGCCCTACTTTCTCGTATTATTATTATACAGTATTTATATAGCGCCAATGGGTATGCTCAGCGCTGTACAGTAGCGGGGGGGACAGAACATGAGACAAGACCGTAACAATACACGAGGGGTTCGAGGGCCCTGCTCTTTCGAGCTGTATTGAACAGTATTGTTGCTGTATTGTCTCCCGTTAGATTGTGAAGCCCTGAGCAAACTGTTGGCGCTATATAAATCCTGTATTATAATAAAGTATTGACTGTCGGACAACTAACATTTGCAGCAGAAGTGGTTAGCAGTTGCATCCTTTGTATTCTTTCAACACAGGTTTCCTTTAGTCAGCTGAAGTGTGACCTCAGTGATTTTAGCACACAGATCCACCAAATGATTAGGTCATATCCTGCCCTCTCTGCAGTTGCCTGTTATGAAACAGAAGATGAAAGTCTATTCCTTATACACAATTAATTATATGGTATTATAATTGAATTTGGTACAATAAAGATCAGCATCTCTGGAAGAGAGCAGGGAAAATTGGTGGACATTTGAACATGCTTAAATATATTTCACAATTACAAGTGAGGAAATAGGCAATTTAGATGTGTCTCCTTGGTTTGTGACCCATTCTCAACAACTAGAAGATTGATCTTTGGGGCACAGAATGAGTAGTTTGCAAGTCTTGCCTTGGCTGTTTTTAACCAAATTAAAATTTCTTGGTTAATGCTTTAAATAAATCCTTATCCATTCAGTGAATGTTCTTTAGCAATACGTTTTTGAGTATAGAAAGTCTAATCAGCGCTTTAAGATGCTTTTATTGTATAATGTATCCTTTTTATAGGATGATCTATTACCTGGATCCTTCAGTTCTTTCTGGTGTATCCTGCTTCGTTATGTGCCTGTGTCTGGCTGACTATCTTGTTCCCACATTGGCTCCCAGAATCTTTGGCTCCAACACATGGTTTGTATTTCTTCTACCATTGTAATATAACTTAATGTGATCTTTCTCAGGTGTATTTAGCTCGGTACAGTTGAAGCAGGCTAAGAGCCTTTGCCAAACACATGAAATTTCTAATTTTTATTAAAATGTTACTAAACCTAGGACCCTGCATTCACTATATTTGGTCTGCAACAAAACATGGAAATGCAATTATTTTTGTAAATATAAACTAAATACCTTTTCTCATCAGCAGTATATAGCAGTCTTGTGACTACTATCAGTGTCCAGCTGAGCCCTGGTTAAAGCTTGTAGGAGGATTATTAATTCTTCTCTGACCATGCTATGAGGCTACATGACCCCTGACCCTCTGTCTGGACAGTGCTAATTGGCCCTGTGCTGATCATTCACCCTCCCAAAAAAACAAAAAGCTCCTAGCCATACACACTAAACTAAGGAAGTGCATAGTGACTTCTAGAGCTCTGCTATCAACAGATGGATTGAGGTCAGTAGAATGGGGGAAGACTTGAAAAAAGGCTATTTGATCCTAATGTGGGGGATTAACCCCTTAGGTTTCACAGCGTGTATAACAAGCATGATTTTCTGCATATACAGACTGATTTTACTGTTGTGGGTTTACTAACACTTTTTAAAGACATTATATAAATGAAACTCCATCCAGACTAGATTTCTTAAGGTGGATTGAGCATGTTTCAGCACCTTTCTGTTGCTGTTCAGGAATTCAGCCGGAGACTCCTAGCAACCCACTAGCACAGCTATAGTAGGCCAGCCAGTGTTTAATCAGAACTGCTGTGACCAGCCTATGTAGATGCATACTTCTTAGAGAATACATTAGAGAAGTCGAGGAGGGAGGGAGAGCAGGTGAAGCACCATTGAAGGCTCTGTGGTGGACTGTATAGGAGGGAGAACAGATGAAGGCAGGATAGCTGGTCACCAGTGAGGGCTCTCTGTGTAGGACTGTACAGGAGGGAGTGCAGGGAAAACAGTACAGCCTTGCCCAATGGGAGTGCCCTGGGTTTTTATCAGCCATACCTGGAGCTTGGGTACTTCATACTACTTGGATGGGGTACAGTATAGGTGTTTACGTGTGGTTCTCCACTAAACTTGTGGCTACAAATGTGGCCCTTGGGCTCCCTTCCTTTTTTTTTTTTTTTTTTTAATTTTGGACATCTCTGCTCTAGTGGAGTCTTCACATTTATGTAGAAGTTACATAGGTAATTGATAATAGGAAGTCTGCAAAAAAAAAGTAATCTTAGCCTGTATATAATTTCCAGATTGAGGAAGTTCTCACCACTGAAATCCCAGACAGCAATAAAGACTAAGTGGAGGATAAGTCTTTGTCCACACTGCACTGGAAAACCATGAAGTTTCTAAGTTTTCCTAGTTTGCTGTAGGAAATATTTTTGTTTAAATTGTTTGAGTTTAGAAATTGACATGATTTCTTGCTTGTTGCATTTTGTAGGACCACAGAACAGCAACAGAGGCTTCATGAGATCTGCAGCAACCTTGTGAAAACCCGACGCAGGATTATTGGCTGGTGGAGCCGGCTCTTTGTTTTGAAGGAAGAAAAGCCCAAGATGGTAAGAATATTGTGTACCATTTTGTAAGCCATAGGACTTTTTTAAATGCAGAACAAAATATTGTAGCATTTATGCACTATGAAGGCGTTTCAAAATATTTGTTAGCATTATTTAGTTTCGCGTTTCAATGATTTATCCTCTTAATCAGAGCCTATTAGGCTCTGAGGAAGAGGATAAATCCTCAATGTGTTAGCCTGTGGATGTTTCATTGTTTCTTTACTTGATGTTTTGTGATCAGTTTGTGCTGTACTCGTGAGATAAAATTTTAACCTTTTCATGACTTTTTGAGTATAATACTTACCTTTTACATTAGCGATATTGTTAAAGGATAATGCACTAGGCCAGTGCACCCTCTGTTTATCGTTACTGCAGTGCTACCAGGGCCCCTCCCCCCCGTCTTATGAGGGCAATAAGGCAAGTGCACCCCATGAAGGTCAAATTTTGACTGCAGCCCATTAATGCCTTTTGATCCAACTCCCCAAGCGCAGGAAGATTGTAGTTTTCATTTCTTTGATAAGTAAATAAACCCCACTGTATCCAAAACTTAAAGTTTGGGATATACATACACTGAGTAGCAAAGCATGAGGTTATAACCAGTGTGTATATGCCTGTCAAAATGTACTCCTTGCTTACCAGGGTTTCACACCTCAGGCTTGAATTGGAGAATCCATGGACTAGCGGCATACTGATGAGCTCCATTCCTCCTGCCTTTCTTCTGGCAAGCATGTTCACTGTGGGAAGCAATAGTGCTCTGGCTTGGAGTTCTGCCCCTCCCTCACCCAGCTAGTGTTCTGCTGCCCAGCCAACTACAGCACGCCAAGAGTGACCAACCAATGCCTTTGTGGGCTTAGGATTTGAATTCATTAGTTTAAAAAAAAAATCTTTCGGCAGATCTATAAAATACAAAACCAAACTATACTTAAACCTGCTCCCACCCCCAATCTAAGCCTATTCTAACTACTTTATGAAAGGAAATCTGTCTATACTTACATTTTTTGAGGGTGCACTGGGTGGTCACATGATTGACTCCCAGTGCCGGAATCCGTGTAGAGGGACAGACAATGACTGATTCCCCATAGGAAGACAATGGGTGACCTTGCATCATAGGCTCTGCAGCCATTGTCGGTGATCTCTGCTCTTCACCGAAGCCGGTAGCTGAAGAGATCGTGTGTCCAGACCAGAGCACCCTCAGAATAGAAAAGTATACACATCTTACCTTGCACAGGGTAGTTGGAATATGCTTAGAATGGGGGTGGAAGCTGATTTAAGTATAGTTATAATTTTTACTTGTATTTCTACTTTATGCTTATGCAGTTCATCTATGTGAAATGAGTGAGATTTAAAGGTATGCTGGCCATATGACCCCAGTAATGTGTTTTTTTTTGTTTTTCCCCCTAGTATTTTATGTCTATGATCACAGCTCTTGCTCTTGTAGCTTGGATTGGACAGCAAGTTCATAACCTCTTCCTAACCTATCTTATAGGTAAGTATTTTTCTGTATTTATGTTTTAAATATTCAGTTTCATGCACAGCAATAAAGTTATTACATCTGTTTGGGGCCTCTGATTTGAAATACTACTGCAAGTATTCAAATCTTTTAGAAGGCTAAAATACTCATGTGCTGCAACAAATGAACAATAAGCTGCTGCAAGCACCTAAAATGTGTTCCCACATCAATACATTTCCTCCAGAATAGTGCTGCTCTGCCCCCTAGTTACCCAATAAATACATTTTAATAATGGACACCCTCCTGACCATCAAACTCAATATGTAAAAGTTCACAGCCATCCAAAGCAGTGTGCCGGAGCAGGGACAGGGAGGAGAACTGTTAGTAAACAAAACAATTCTGCTCCCCGTCGGACTGCTAATGAGCCAATAATGGAAGGTTGTGATACTGCCAACATCCCTATACATAGTACAAAAAGGCGACCAAAAGGTCACAGGATTCCCAAGGGGGCTTTAGAGGCAGAAGATATGAAACATGGAATATATTAAACACGTAATCAATCTTCATTATTCCAAAAAATGGCCAATGGGACAAAGGTAAAATGCAATATGATACACCAAATAATTAAGCCAGCATATACCCAAGTGTATTTATAATTACAACAAATAGATGCATGTCTTGCTCGGGGGTAATAAAATCTTCCCATAATTCCCAACATGTTTCAGAATGGAATTCCTTCTTCAGGGAGATTACTGGTGTAATGATGAATTAGTACATCTATCTGTGTAACTTGATTCAAAAGTAGACATCCACAAAGCAGAGGCAGTCTAGCCAAAATCCGTGTAAGATCTTTAAATTCACATCTCCAGCTCTGAAGGGGTTACTGCAAGGATCCCAGTGGGGCACCACCTGAAGGAAAGGCCAATCTGGTCATATCAGAATAGCAGTCAGACAAAAGGTATATATTTTTTTTTTTAAGGTTTTGCTTGGGCACAATAAACCTTTTTCTAGATGTTCCCTATACATTGCAATTCTTTACTTTTTGAGTTCTGTCTAACTTTACCCAACGTATAGTGATGATGAGCAGATCTTTTACACATTTTCTCCAGTTAGAGCCCAACTAATTTCTCCTGGGTGCAGGTGAAATTTTTACTCTTCTTTGGCTGCCAACCACTAGACGTTTTAGTCACAGACCTTGCATGGTAGACTTGCAGTGATATAAAGGATCAGAAAGGCACAAAGGTAGCATAGCCTGAATGTAATGAGCAATATGTACCTATGTACATCGATGATGACAAATTCTGCATTGGAACCTTTTAAAGGTACAATGAGATTCCTTATTTCTAATTTTTTTTTTTTTTCACATGTATGGTTTACATTTAAAAAATAATTGGTCCCCTAAGGGCTCATTTACACACTTCCATTGCAGTAACGTGTCCAAATAAACAGCACCCAAGCACACTGTATATGGTACACTAACAAAGGTTTTGGTTTTACGTGTACTTTAAAGTAGTTAAAGAGAGATATAGACTTCAGCTCCCTGCCCCCTGCTTTTCAGAGCTAATAGATGGTATCAGGGATGTGGAAACTTTTATTTATTTTTTATAAAACTACATGTCCAAGGGACTAAATCGTGGTCCCAATCTACTTGTCCTAATAAAAATAAAATTAATTTTAACCAAAACTGCTTTTTTTATGTCTGAGGTACTTATAGAAATGACTGGGGCTTTTAAATACGAAAGGGGCTTTATGGTGACTTAATGCAATGTTAAATATATTAAACGTTTATCTCCTACCCACCTCCCTGCCTGTCTCCACCACCATACTTGGGGACTGGCAGGGAGTGGAGACCTTGCAGTGTGACTAGCACCAATTGGGTGCTCATAAGGAAAGGGGAGTGTCAGGCTTTCTTTACGCCCAGCAGAAGCACATTGCTGCATGAGTAAATGAGGCATCAGCCCCAGGTTCAGGTTGCCCTCACACACAGAAACACTTGGGTACTCGGTACAAGTGCCTGCTGTGCGGCCAAATCAAGCAATGGTGTCCACTGTTAAAGGATAAGTTCACCTTTTTTTAAAAAAAAAATAAATATTGCAGATAAAAAAAAAAGTGCATTTTACTTTTTTTTTTTTTTTTTTTAATTTATTTTATTTTTCTGTAAGGAGCCTGGAAAGCATTGCATCAGGAGATCATGGGTACCATGCAGGGCTCCTGCAGACTGTCTGTGTAATCTGTCTACCAATAGATTATACGAGCAGGCAGTTTCGGGAAGAATCACTGAACTACCAGAGCAGTTAACAGCACCATTGGGAACTACAAGTTGACATCCGCAAAGGGTGTATTTGATTCTTTCACAGAACTCAGTGAATGAATGATGTGGCTGTGTGGGCGGACCTGAAGATTATATAAAACCCCCAAAACTCTATTATATTTTCTGAAAGCAGACACCCTAGAGAATAAAGTAGTGGTAGTTCCAATTTTTTATGGCATGCAATATTGCTGAAGCTACACCGAGTAAATGGATATCCAACATGTCAAACCTTAAATTTTGTGTGCACCTGTAAAACAAACTTCAGTACCATATATTTTCTATAGGTGACATTTAAAAGCCCCCTATAGGTCATCCGTTTAGCATTACGGAGTCTGGTGCTAGAACTATTGCTCTCATTTTGGCATGTGCAGCGATATGTAACGTTTATTGCAATTTACATTTTCATGTGAAGGCACTCTGACACATGCGTTTGTATGTGCATATTTGTTTGGGTTTTTTTGTTTGGTGTTTTTTTTTTTTTTTTTTTTTTATTATTATCACATAGAGGACAAAGTCCCCTAATGTAGTGGTTGTTTTTTTTTTTTTTTTTTTTTTTTTTTTTTTGGTGACCGGTTCTCTTTAAATGAGACCTATAGGGTTTAAAATACCCTGCATGCCTCCTCTGGGCTCCACTGAATGTAATGCAGTGCAGATTGCACTGCGTTACATTCTTTCCCAGCCTCCGTATCCAGGAACACTGACATCAGGGACCTGGAAGTGATGTCATACCAGTCACTACCTGGTCAGGAACAGGATGAGGTGTGTGTCCGCACTCCTTCCTCCCCTCCACCCACAGGCACCCATTGTCCTGGGCTCGCAGATGGACATGCGGACCCCGGGATACATAGCTGGGGGGAGGGGGCACTTTACCGACTTGTGGAAGCAATCGGGCGGCAGCGAAACCACCCAATTCCACCTGACAAGTAACCCCTGATGCTTTCCTGCAGCATGGCTAAATGTAGGGGGGAAAAAAAAAGCTACCTGCTCAACACCTGGAACTAATGTCTCGGGCAATAGGAATTGCGCATCCTTGTGTATTTAAATTCTGCACTTTCAACAGATATAGAAAAGAGAGCTACAGATAAATGGGTACAACTTATGTAGGTGAATTTGTTTATAATGTATCACCTAAGGCTAATCTATTCACTGGGTATATGTAAGGGTTTACAACCACTTTAAGGAATGGGCTTCTATAATGCAGCATTTCTCAATGCAGGTATATGTTAATTCAATACATAGGGTGAGATTTAATAAAACTGGTGCACACAGAATCTGTTGTAGCTGTGCATGGTAGCCAATCAGCTTCTAATTTCGCTTGTTCAAAAACGATTGACAATAAAACCAGATTTTGCAGTCTCCAGTTTTAGTAAATCTCGCCCAGTCTAATTGGGTCCTAAATATTGTAGATGATGATTTATTCAATCTATTCTAAAGCCATAAAATTGAATGGCGGCAAGTAAAAATGTAAGTGCCCAAGTACAACATGCCCACACCTTGCAGTGACTAGTTATTTGGTTCTTTGTAGCTTGGAGGGCTGGTAACTTAGGAGACATTGCATATGTTTGTATAATAGAAAATATGGCTATTATTGTAACAACTAGTACATTAAAAAAATCCTGCTTTTTTTTTTTTTTTTTTTTTTTTTCCAGTGAGCTTAGCACTTTTGCTACCTGGTCTCAACAAACATGGAGTTATTACAAAATTTGTAGGAATGGGCAAGCGGGAAATAAACAAACTTCTGAAGCAGAAAGAGAAAAAGACTGAATAAGGTCAAGTCAACTATCACACTGAAACTTCCATGGGAGCATTGTTTTTTTTTTTTTTTTTTTTGTTTTTTTTTCTTTTGTTCCATGTCTGGTATTTGGGGATAAAGTATATATATATGCCTGACCTTTTCACATTGCCGATCACTTCCCCAATAACTGCCAATGCTGTATCTTTCTAAACTTGTTGCACTGAAACTTGTAATGTTTCTCTAGTGTACAAAGTCTTTATCTCTGGAGTGTTTGACAAACTGCTGTAGTTCTCAGTTGTCCATGTCCTGTGGACAAAATTCCTGTGTCCCTCCTTTTTTTTAATGTTTTTTCTTGTCCTCATCTTGTAAATATTCTTCATTTTTATCCTTTTTTTGTGTATGTTTTTAGTGTGTGTGGGTTTGTGTTTCTTTTGCAAATTAAATGTCTTCTGCTGTTGGTGAATGTAATAAACCTAGTGTATAAGAAATGCATTGGTGTGGGTCTTTTTTGTGGGGTTTTTTCTTTAGCAAATAGGTTGCTAAACTGGTAGTCGCTGTTGTTACTTTTACCTATTTTATATGTAGAATCCACACATTTTGTGGAACATGCCTACCAGTTGAATCTCTAGGATATGGGGAGGTTTATTAGACTAGTGACCTCAGTATCGGAGATTAAAGAAGCCAATTTCATCATGTTACAGTAGTGCTTTTTACATTGGAAGAAATTTCAAAGTGAAATCGTACTTTGTCCATACTGGGCAAAATAGTGGGCTCACTTTTTATAGGAGGGGGGAGTTCAGGAATTCTGTACTAGCCTTACAGTGGGCTGCCTGATTCTGCTGTAGAAATCCCTTCTCTCCCCCTTCCCCCTTGCAACAGTACTGAGGCCTGGAAACGTGTTCCTCATACTTTGAAGGTCCGAAGATAGGGGAGTGTGACATTTTATGCTGGCTAATCTCTAAAAAAGAGTGGGAAATTTGAAAGTTTTACTTCTTGACTACTGGTGCTTGTAGTTTTTTATTTTCTTCTTTGGGTCTTGGTTAAAGCTTTTACTTTTCTTAAATACCTTTTTTTTTTTTTTTTTTTTTTTTTTTTTTTTTTCCCCTCTCACTTTTTAAATCGCTTTTTTTTTTCTTCCTAGTCTTCCTTCACTCTGCTAATTAAGGGGAGGGGTTAATTGGTCACAGGTGATACAGGTCCTATATAACTTGCTGTAGAGCTCACTCTGAGCCTGCCTGTATTTTGCTTGCTGGACCTTTGACTAAGTGGAGTTAAAAAAACTGGAGTTGAAAACAGGAGATTATAACAGGAGTATACAAACCTGTGACAACTGATCTTTCCTGTTAATATTGTAACTGGGATATGAGTGCTAGCAGGGTTGAAGGTTTTGTGCAGTGTGCCGCATGTATGGAGCAACAGCTCCAAGATGGATACTGCTGCAACAGATGTGAGCGGCTTGCCCTTCTGGAATCTTGCGTTGAGGCTGGAGGAGCAAGTTGCAACACTGGGCAGAACTATCAACCTTGAAAGGGGTCTTCTGCTCTCTGAGCAGGTAGCTAATGGGATTGATTTAAAAGGCGGATGGGCTAATCAGGATTATCAGGTAGGAAGATGGGTTACTGTAACGAGAGGGAGTGGTAGGGGCTCACAGAAATGGAAGGCTGGCCCTGGGTTTGAGCACCCAAATAGTTTTGCCAAGTTGGGTAAAGATGGAGGGTGGCAAGCTCAGGGGTGGCAGCCCTGGATGTCACTGCTGTCCCTAACATCCGGGAGGGCAGACCATCTGGGAGGGGTTGTGAGGGTAGTGCAGGAAGGCCTAAACAGCTGGTGGTAGTAGGGGATTCTATGATCAGAAGGACTGATTGTAGCAATTGTGCACACAGATATGGACGCGGTCATCCATCTTGCTGAAGATTCCCCATCTTGTGTTTGTGGTTCACAAGGACATATGGCACAGTTGGATAAACGTCATGGTTTTAATCCCAAATTAACTGGTGCCCGGGTGTCTGTTAGCGTCTCAATCTGAGATGATCGTAAAGCTATAAACCAGTCCTTCACTGGGCATGAAACACATTCCAGAATAGCCGTAAAACATACATCCCATTTAAAAAAAACACTTTTCATAGCTTAAAATAGGAATACATACAATCGAACAAAGCATATATTATTATTATTATTACTACGAGTTTATATAGCGCCAAAGGGTTTGCTCAGCGCTGTACAATAGGGGGGGACAATACATGGCACAGTACAACAAAGACAGACAGCGTACGAGGGGTAAGAGGGCCCTACTCTTACGAGCTTACAATCTAGGAGGGAGGGGGTAAAGGTACAGTAGGAAGTGGCTGGGGGGGATGAAGTGGTAGGAGGAATGAGGGAGGATGGCCGTTAGGTGAGGGTGGGGTAGGCTTCCCTGAAGAGATGGGTTTTGAGGGAGCGCCTGAATGTGAATAGAGAAGGCGACAGTCTGATGGATTGGGGCAGTGAGTTCCAGAGGATGGGGGAGGACCTGGAGAAGTCCTGCAGTCGTGCATGGGAGGAGGAGACCAGGGAGCAGGATAGAAGGAGGTCCTGTGAGGAGCGAAGGGTACGGGTAGGGTGGTACCTGGTGATCAGATTGGTGAGGTAGTCAGGGGCAGTGTTGTGAACGGCTTTGTAGGTCAGGGTAAGGAGTTTAAATTTGATGCGTTGGGCAATCGGGAGCCAGTGGAGGGAGAGGCAGAGGGGGGTGGCAGAGGTGGAGCGGGTGGTAAGGTGGATGAGTCTGGCAGCTGAGTTCAGGATGGTCTGGAGCGGGGAGAGCCTGCACTTGGGTAGGCCAGTGAGGAGGGAGTTGCAGTAGTCAAGGCGTGAGATGATGAGGGAGTGTACTAGAAGTTTGGTGGTGTCTGGGGTGAGGAAGGAGCGGATCTTGGCAATGTTGCGAAGATGGAGCCTGCATGTGTTTGTGAGTGATTTGACATGCGGTTGGAGGGAGAGGTTCGCGTCAAGAATGACGCCAAGGACTTTGGCTTGCGGGGCGGAAGTGATAGTGGAGTTGTTGGTGATGATGGATAGGATGGGGGGGGGGGGGGTGTGGGCAGGGGGAAAGACGAGAAGCTCGGTTTTGGAGAGGTTAATCTTGAGGAAATGTAGCGACATCCAGTCTGAGATGTCATTTAGGAGGTGAGTGATGCGGGCGGAGATAGTGGGGGTGAGGTGAGGGGTGGAGAGGTAGATTTGGGTGTCGTCAGCATAGAGGTGATAGTTGAAGCCGTGAGATTGTATGAGTTTGCCCAGGGAGGAGGTGTAGATGGAGAAGAGAAGGGGTCCAAGGACAGAGCCTTGGGGGACCCCAACAGAGAGGGGGAGGGAGGGGGAGGTGGCACCATTGTAGGTGACACTGAAGGAGCGTCGGGATAGGTAGGATGAGAACCAAGAGAGAGCAGCATCTCCGATGCCAAGGGAGAGTAGTTTATTAAGAAGGAGGGGGTGGTCAACTGTGTCGAAGGCCGCAGAGAGGTCCAGGAGAAGGAGGACAGAGTAGTCGCCCTTGGCTTTGGCGTTGAGTAGGTCGTTAGCGATTTTGAGGAGGGCGGTTTCAGTGGAGTGTAGGGGACGGAAGCCGGACTGTAGAGGGTCAAGGAGGTTATTGTCAGTAAGGTGGGAGCTTAGGCGATCGTAGACTAAGCGTTCAAGGAGCTTGGAGGTGAGTGGCAGCAGGGAGATGGGTCTGAGGTTGTTGGGGTCCGCGGGATCCAGGGAGGGCTTTTTGAGGATGGGGGTGATATGCGCGTGCTTTAGGGGGAGGGGAATACGCCAGTAGAGAGGGAGAGATTGAAGATGTGGGTGAGGGAGCGGATGAGGGAAGAGGGGGGTGACCGGAGGAGTTGAGAGGGGATAGGGTCCAGGGGGCAGGTAGTGAGGCGGGCTTTTGAGAGGACTTTGGCGACTTCCTCAGTAGTGACAGGGCTGAGGGAGTGCAGTGCGGGGGGGGCTATGGTGGGCGGGGCATTGGGAGAGGAGGGGGGCAGTGCGGTTGTGAGGGCAGAGGAGGGGGGAGATGAAGGGGTGACGGGGGCGAGGAGGCTAGGTGGGGAGGTAGATTGCAAGTTGACGATGTCCTTACGGATAGCGTCAATCTTGTAGTCCTGCAGTATATTCGGATAGCTCAGTTTAATGCGAGTCGCCTGATATCTTACACCCCTAGTTAAAGTCTACAGGAGAGTAGGAAGCCATATAGTTCTAGCTGAAATAGTAAGATATGGCATATTTGATGTCTGGACGTTCAGGATATCATTCTGCATATTAATCTACTTGTGGCTAGGCTGCTACATGTACCTAGGGAAAGTTATTGACCATGATATAAACTGCGAGGGATTCGGTTATAACCTGAGTTCCCCGCCAAAAACGCCCCTCCCCAAATGAGGCGATTGGTTTTCTGCTTTAAGGAGACACCCTGCTGGGTTCCTAGAAAAAGGCTGTTATGCTTTGGAGCAGGAAGTTGAAGATCTCCCTTTTAACATCAGGAACCAACTTTGGGAGAAAAGGCACCCTTTTGCTCAGGACCCTTGAAGCTGGTTAAACCAAGGCTGATGGCAAGTATCCTACCTCTCTAAACTTCTCTCTGTTGTGTGTGTGTATAATAAATTATATATATATATATATATATCTATCTCATTTTGACCTTTTTGTAGTAATAAATCCTATTTTCTGAAAAGTGTTGAACTGTTTCTAAAGCTCTTTAATGCAAACTCAGAATCCCTGTCTCTGAAGAGTGCTACTGTGTGTTTTAAACCTCTATATACATCTGCCTGTAGTGACCGTGTGTATACAGACAATTATTCAAACATCCTAGTGTTACTGCTAAGATTGGTAAGTTTCCTCTTTCTCTGTACAAAAAGGAGGTGGCGGCAGTGTGAAGGGTTAATTGCGTAATTAACCTGACCCAGTAACAATAGCTCTTAGGCTGCGGTACATAGATTGTGGTCCATTCACTGGAAAATCTTTGTGCAGGTTGCAGCTGAGCGTGGCATTGTTACGCACGTGACAGC